GCGCGGCGCGGCGCGGCGCGGCGCCCGGCCGTGCGACGACAAGGGCTGGGCTGGTGCACCACTCCCCGACCTCCTCGCGGCGGGAGAGAATCACGACGGGAGATTTTTCATAGTTTCGGCCTCCGGGGGCCCTTTCCGGGCCTCGGGACCGTCAAAAAACGACTCAGGGCGAAAAACCGGTCCCGGGGAAGTGGTCCAGACTTCTGGGGGTCGACGTCGTGAACAAAAACCGCGACGTCGGGGGTCTGGGCTGGAAGGAGAAAAAGCGCCATCAGCATAATCAAACTCTCTGTACATGGCGTGATCTCGAGCCGCGTGGCCGCCATCCTCTTCGCCGTGGGCGCTGCCGGGCAGCTGCGCCATCGAGCCGTGGGCGGACGTCGCGGAGAGGGCGCCCGGGGGGGGGGGCGGGACACGCCGCCGCGGCTGCAGGAGGACAGCCTGGGCGAGCGGGCTGCTGCACGCAGAAGGCTGCGGCGCGGAGGAGGGGAGGTGCCAAGAGGGGAGACGGCGGGCGGCTCGCCCAACGCCCCGAGGAGGGAGGAGGGGAGAGAGGGAGGATCGAGAGGGAGGGGGAGAGAGGGAAAGAGAGAGAGGAAGGAGGGCAAGCTAGGTGCGCTCGCGCCTCATCTGGCATCCTGTCCCTCCCTCCCATCTCTTCCCATGGCGCTGATTTTTCCCTATCCGCGGACGTGTGTCAGGGCCGACCTGACACTCACACAGAACGACCACTTCGTGTTCTGCGCAATCGGAGAAAAGGTGACCTGCGTGCACAGGGGGAGGAGGTGGCGGGTGAGCCGAAGGATGAGCGGGAGGAAAAGGAGAAGGACGAACAACAGCAGCGGGAACTTCAGCGGAAGCATCGGTAGGGAAAGGAGGATCAGAGGAAAACGGAGGAGGGGAAATGAGGGGGGCGACAGCGACGAAGGAAGACTCGGGTTCAGAACATGATCGACCCACGAACCCGGAAAGGAATATAGAAATGTAAGGCATGGCAACTGTTCAAAGACACTTGATTGGGCGACGGGCAAATGCAATGCAGAATGTATCGATCTTAATGTACTGTGCCAGGGGCTGTGCTGTGCTGCACCGTGCTGAACTGCGATGTTCCATACCGCGATTGTGCTCTACATAGTGTCGTGGATCGAGTCTTCCTTAACATCCGAGTCCTGACCGAATTGATCTGGATCTTAAGCTCGAGCTGACTGAGCAGATGGTAGCTGCCCCAGAACCAATCGACAGAGGGGACATGCCAGGAGGACGCGCCGCGGAACATCCCAAAGGACACGCCAAGCGACGTGCCAGGGGACGTGCCATGGGCACGCACCGCGTGACGTGCCAAGCGGACGCGCTACGGAACGTGCCAATGGACGTGCCGCGGGACGTGCCAGGGGGCGCGCCACGCGACGTGCCAGGGGGACTCGCCAAGGGACGCCCCAGGAAACGTGCCAAGTTGCAATGCTGAGTGTATCGATCTTGATGTACCATGCCGAAATCTGTGCTGTGATGCGCCGTGCTGAACTGCGATGTGCCATGCCGCGATTGTGCTCTAGATAGCGTTGTGGATCGAGTCCTCGTTGCATCCGAGTCCTGACCGAACTGATCTGGATCTTAAGCTCGAGCTGCCTGAACACATAGTAGCTGCCCCAGAACTAATCGACAGGGGGACATGCCAGGAGGACGCGCCGCGGAACGTCCCAAGGGACGCGCCAAGCGACGTGCCAGGGGACGTGCCATGGGCACGCACCGCGGGACGTGCCAAGGGACGCGCTACGGAACGTGCCAATGGACGTGCCGCGGGACGTGCCAGGGGGCGCGCCACGCGACGTGCCAGGGGGACTCGCCAAGGGACGCCCCAGGAAACGTGCCAAGTTGCAATGCTGAGTGTATCGATCTTGATGTACCATGCCGAAATCTGTGCTGTGATGCGCCGTGCTGAACTGCGATGTGCCATGCCGCGATTGTGCTCTAGATAGCGTTGTGGATCGAGTCCTCGTTGCATCCGAGTCCTGACCGAACTGATCTGGATCTTAAGCTCGAGCTGCCTGAACACATAGTAGCTGCCCCAGAACTAATCGACAGGGGGACATGCCAGGAGGACGCGCCGCGGAACGTCCCAAGGGACGCGCCAAGCGACGTGCCAGGGGACGTGCCATGGGCACGCACCGCGGGACGTGCCAAGGGGACGCGCTACGGAACGTGCCAATGGATGTGCCACGGGATGTGCCAGGGGACGCGCCACGCGACGTGCCAAGGGGACTCGCCAAGGGACGCCCCACGGAACGTGCCAAGGAACGTGCCAAGTTGCAATGCTGAGTCTATCGATCTTGATGTACTGTGCCGAAGTCTGTGCTGTGCTGCGCCGTGCTGACTTGCGATGTGCCATGCCGCGATTGTGCTCTATAGCCTCGTGGATCGAGTCCTCCTTTGCATCCGAGTCCTGATCTGAATCTTAAGCTCGAGCTGCCTGAACACATAGTAGCTGCCCCAGAGCTAATAGACAGAGGGGACATGCCAGGAGGACGCGCCTCGGAACGTCCCAAGGGACGCGCCAAGCGACGTGCCAGGGGACGTGCCATGGGCACGCACCGCGGGACGTGCCAAGGGGACGCGCTACGGAACGTGCTGGGGACAAGCGTTTCGCTCGAGACATCCTGCCAACATCCTCAGAATTCCTGCGCGCGGGGCGCGGACGCGCGAGACATCCTCGAAATTCTTGCGAGCGGGACGTGTAAACAAGCATTTCGCCTGAGACATCCTCTGAATTCTGGACCCCCACGAGGCCCCCCACGAGGCCCCCGCTGGAGACATCCCCCAATTTTGCAAAACCAGCGGTTCGCTCGAAACGTCTTCAACAAATTATGAAAGACAAGCATTTCGCTCGAGACATCCTGCCAAAATTCAAGGAAATCCTAGCAAAACAAACGAATTAGTCGAGACATCCTCGAAATTCCTGCGCGCGGGACGCAGCACGCGCGAAACATCATCGGAATTCCTGCGCGCGGGGCGCTTTTCCGCGTCGCGGTCGGCTCTGCAAAACCAGCGTTTCGCTCGAGACATCCTCAACAAATTCTGAAAACAAGCGTTTCGCTCGAGACATCCCCAACTCTGCAAAACTAGCGTTTCGCTCGAGACATCCTCAACAAATTCTGAAAAACAAGCGTTTCGCTAGGGACATCCTCAATTTTTAATTCGCCGGCCCTACGCGACCTCGTTATTTATCGCAAAAGAAATTAGCCGGCCCTACAGCCGTCAAAACCGGGGGGAAACCAACTAAAAGAGAACCCTGGGCTCCGGCCCTTTCCGGGAAAAAGTAGCCCGCGCTGGGGCGATACGGAAAGCAGCAGCAGGAACTGGAGTGGAAGGAGCGGGAGGAGCAGGAGGACCAGGGGAAGGCGGGGGAGGGGAAATGAAAGGGGGGGACCACAACGAAGCAAGACGCGGATCCAGAAGAGCGGCCCGCGCAGGGGCGAGAGCGCCATTCTGAACGACGGGAGCAACGCGCCGATCCGAAAATGAGGCCCGCGCTGCAGATGGAACACCATTTTGAGACACCGACGACAAGTCGATGGTAGAAAACCATGAGAACACAGCAACGTTTGAAATCCTGTATAAGAACAATCTGCGGAAAGGGGGCGGGAGATCTTCCGGACGACTTCAGGGGAGGAGGGAGAGCAACTAGTCTTCATGTACTGTAGATGGAGCAAGCGGGGGAACAGGAAGTGGAGTGGGAATAACAGCGTGACGGTGCCATGTGAACCAAGCTGGCCGTGAGCGTGCTGCCTTCTCGGCGGCACTCAGCACCTCTTGGGAGCAAACCCACGCCTTACCCGATCCAGGCATGACCTCCTTGATGGGCCCATTTTCCACCACCACTACCATAAGTAGGAGAGGGGGAAGAAGGAGGAGGAGGAGGAGGAGGAGGAGGAGGAGGAGGAGGAGGAGGAGGACCGGAGGAGGACCTCCTCATCCTCCCTTCTCCCTCGTCCTACACATGGCAGCGGTGGTGGAACATTTGCAGGAGGCGGAGGGGGAGAAGGGAAGACGGAGGAGGGCGGCAGGCAAGGGGGCCCAGCGATCTGGCCTGGACATCGGGGCGCTGCCCCTCCCCCAGGCAGCCGGCTCCCGGCCATCGGTGGCGGGAGGGGCGGCCCCGGGGAGGCGAAAGGGCACGGGTAGCCCAAGGGGGGGGGGGGGGGGGGCACTGCGCGCGGTCGCACGCAAGCCTCGCCCGCCCTCGCGGGCGGGCGGGGCCCCCGGGTGCACGCAGTGTCCAGCCCGCGGCTGTCCACGGCTGCTGCGGCGAGGGCGGAAGCGCGTGCTGGCGGAGGCGGGTCCAGGCGGCGCGGGGCCTTCCCAACGACCAGATTCCCATCCCAACCGTTTTCTGGTGGCCCCGGAGTTCTGGAGGCTGCAAGAACATCCAGGGTCCCCCCTTTCCAGGGCCACGGATCTTCATGCTGTCTCTCTCCCCAGGCCTCCCTCCAGCAGTGCGTTTGACGAGACTGTCTACATGGATCCAGCCTTGGCGACGAGGATATCTCCGACGTCATAATAAAAAAGGCATGCAATCGTGCACCCGCGATTCCGAAGAAGTGGGGTGAAACATGGAGTGGGAAGGCGTTGAAAGCAGGTTGGGTACTGTAGCGCCCCGCATGTGACAACGGGATGAAGAACGATTGTCGCCCGATTCTTGAAGCAGGGGGGCACTCAACAGGAGCATGGAATCTGGGAATACCGACATACCCATCTTCGACTGGATCGGACCAGCAACCAGCATAAACATACACTGTTGTAAGTCAGCGCGGGTGTCTCGGATCAAAGCTGGACCCCTTCCGCCGACCCGAGGAATCTGCGCGTATCTCCAGAAGTGCATGCTCATGATGTGTTCTCTCCTTGGCATGATGCATGCGGGTCCAGAGGAAAACGGCTTCTGGATCCTGGGGCATTGCCCCCCAAACCAAATCTTCATCCTGAAACGACGTATGACGGTCGTCCGCCTGGCGGGCGCGTCTCCCATCGTCCGCCGGATGAACTCCAGGGAGTCGCGTATGGAGGTGTAATGGGCGCGGATGGCGGACCTGCGCGGGGACGGAGAGGGCGGGGAGGGAGGATGGGGGGGGAAGAGGGGAGACAGGAGGGGAGGGAGGGAGGGAAGGAGGGAGGGAGGGAGGGAGGGGAAGGGAGGGGAGGGGAGGGAGGCAAGCTAGGTGCGCTCGCGTCATATTTGACGTCCTATCCCTCCCTCCCATCCCTTACCATGGCGTAGATATCCTCTCTGCTCGCATAGCCGGATGTCGAGCAGGGCAATGATTGCGAGAGGGTGCGCGATGCATGGTAGAGCACGGCATGGCATGGCGTGGAAGAGCACGACAGAGCAAAGCATGCCATAGCATGGCGTGGCATTGCGCAGTGAAGCATTGCATCACAAACCATTGCAACGCAAAGCATGACATCGCACAGCGGCGCAGAACACAACAGGTCATGGCATGGCGCCGGGTTCCTTGGAGGATAAGTGGGTCGTCTTCGAGAGGTCTGGGCCAGTCTGGAGTCGTGGCTCCATGTCTAGCTCCTCGGGCTCCCCCGAAAGCTCCACACAAGGCGGGGCTGATGGAGAGCACCCACTGGCTATACTTTCAACACCGCCTTCTCAAAGCAGAAACGGGGCTCCCGCTTGATACTTCTTGAAAGCGACGACGCCCCAAAGTGGGGGGACTTCAGCGGCCCAAAATAAAGAGAATCGGCAACGAATGTGCAAGCTCTTCCGATGATTTGTTCAAGGGCATTTTCTATATTTTGGGGCCTATCTAGAAGGACTGGAAACGCCAGCCCTGCAGCGGGAACACGATTTGGAACAACCAGGGGCGCAGAAATGGGGTCAGCGCTTCAGCGAGAGCAATATTTTGAAAAAAGCCCAAACGAAAACCCAACTCCCGGGAATCCTGTGTAAAAAACCATACGCGGAGGGGGCGGGGGGCCGGGCATCTTCAGTATTCCTTTTGTGTAATTGTGGAGGGAGGGGAGGGAGGAGGGAGGAGGGAGGAGGGAGGGGAGGGAGGATGGGGAGGGAGGAGGGGAGGGAGGAGGGGAGGGAGGAGGGGAAGGGAGGGGAGGGAACAGATGGAGGAGGGGACGGGAGGACCCCCGCCCGGCGCCTCGCCCGACGGCCTGCCTGGCGCAACACCCGAGCACCCGACGCCCACGCTTGCCCTTGGCGGCACGCACGAGGGGGGGGGGAGGGCTTCTTAGAAGGAGGCTGCTTCTTAGAGGGCGGCGGCCTTGCAACCAAGAAGCACGGGTGCTTCCAAGAAGCCCTCCCCCCTCCCCCCACCCCCTTTGTGCGCGTGGCTGATACCCCCTCCCTGGCAGAGGTCGGCGGTCCTGGCCCGGCGCCCGGGCCCACCCGGGCATCCGGCTGCTCCTATGTTCCCAACCATCCCGTGCTGTGGGGTCCTCGTTCTGGAGAGCCAGCGCCCCGCGTTCCTCCTCTCCTCTCCTCTCCTCTCCTCTCCTCTCTCCTCTCCTCTCCTCTCCTCTCCTCTCCTCTCCTCTCCTCTCCTCTCCTCCTTCCCCTCCCCTCCTCCCGCCTCCCTCTCCTTGCCTCTCCCCTCCGCATGACCACTTCGGCACGCCCCCCCACGAGGATCGTGGCCCCATAGGGAGCTCCGCCGAAAGCCCCAGTGGCAGGGTCCGCATGGCGAACTCGGGCCAGTTCGGCACGCCCCTCACGAGGATCGTGGCCCCATAGGGAGCTCCGCCGAAGGGCCCAGTGGCAGGGTCCGCATGCCAAACTCGGGCCAGGAGGGGGCTAGCCGATATCCTAACCTTCGCGCTGTAAGCAGCCCTGCATATGCCCGCGCCCGCCCACCCCAGACCTGCACAACCGGCAAGGTTAGGTTATTCTGGGGGTGGGGCGGAAGGGGGTCAAGCCCGATAACCCAAGGTATCGCAGGACCCAAACAAAAAGTCTCTTAGACATAATCAAACACATCCCTAAACTGATCAAACAAATACTCAAAATAACGTCCCCTGAGTATTGTTTGGACTATGTTTGAATTTTTCCCCTGTAGAGGGACACCCCCGACTCAAGGCCAGGCCCATCCTGAACCCAGCTGTGGTTTGTATGTGCCACGCCTTCCTGGCTCAGCCAGGAGGGCTGAAACACACACACACACCTCCTGGGCTCATGGTGGGCCTGGCCAGGGTGCAGTGGATACGTGTAGACTTCGTCGCCCGACAATGGGCGGGGGGGCTCGGGGGCTTGGTCGCTTCGCCTGCTGGTGGCGTTCCGCCCCCGTCTGATCGGTAGGTCCCGGCTTACAGGGCTGGATTAGAGGTGGAAGGACTAAACCCAAATCGGTAGGGTTGCCCAGCGTTGTTGTGGCTTTGTGATCGGACCCAGGAGGCGCGAATGGGAGGGTAAGTAAGGATGATAAGGGAAAAGAGGAGGAGGTGGAAAAGGAGGACGAGGAGGAGGAGAAGGGGGGAGGTGGCAGGAGGTATGATGAGGAGCCTTTGACATGCTTCGGGCTGCGTCGGAGCCTGGCGGCTCAGGTGGCCAACGTGTTACACCACGGAGTGCGCTGATCGAGCGCGTCAGCCACTGAGGCCGCAGAGGCCGTATTCGGCGCGGTGCTCTCTCGGATGGAGGGAGGGGCGAGGAGGAGGAGGACGATGTGAGATAGGACGAGCGCCGAGAAGCGGACCAGGCTTCAGCCAGCACCGTGGGTCGAGCCCATCCCGTGCCACGGTCGACGCCAGCCGAGCCACCCTGCCCGAGACCGTGCAGCAAGCTCGCGCGGGTGGCTTCGCTCGTGGAGGCCCGCCGCTCCGGGTTCACGGCCGCACGCAGCTTCGACACGAGGGCCGCGCCCGATGGCCACCACGCGCTCAACGGGAAGGGCGAAACAGATCCGTCTGGCGCGCCTCCCGTGCGAACCCCACCCCTCCAAGAGATCCCCGTGAGCTTGCGTGCCCTTGGGCGTGACCTTGGCGCAGGGGCTCCTCCGCCTCGGCGTTGTCCGCTGCCGGGACGAGGCCCCCACCACAGAACGCGAACGGGAGGACCGGAGCAGACCCACGCCGTGCCGCCTGCAATACACCTCAGCGCCCCAAGTTCTCTGCTCGTGAGTCCTTACAAATTGTTCGTCAATGCGCGAAGCCCCCCTTGAAAAAGGAGCGCCGCATGTGCCCACAATGAAATCGAGAGCTCGTTTGTTGAAAGCAATTGGCCTCCATCTTGCGAGGCATACAGGATGCGACACAAGGGGCGTAAGGTTCAAGGAGGTGCCCAAAGACAACCTCGCTTGACAAGAAATCGGCCTCCATCCGTGTGACTGCCAGGCAGTTTTGGTTATATTCCGCCGATCCGGCGCATGACTTCCAAGGAGCCTGAGCTGCAGCCTGCAGCCTCAGCGTCAGCTCTGCTTGGGGGTGGGGGGCCCAGGGGGCTCTGCTGGGGAAGGGAGGGAGGGCCCGCTCCGCCTGTGCTCCCCTCCCCGGGTGGGGTTGGGACACGTAAAGATCCGCTACATTCCCACCCAGGGGGGCCAGAGAGCCCAAGATAGCCGCCAGATATTTCCCAGACGGCTCAGGATGCACCCAAGATTGCCCAGGCTGCCCTCCAAAGAAGGCCACAAAGGATATGGGCGTTTCATTCTCTTCGGCCTTCCGACGACCCCAGAGGCCCCCAGGATCGTTCCAGAGGCCTCCAAGATGGCCCTATGACGGCCCAAGAGGCTCCTAAGACGGCCTCAAAGGGTCCCAAGACGGCCCCATAAGGCCCCCAAGACGGTCCTGAAGCGCCCCCAGAGTGCTCCCAGACGGCACAGCGAGGCGCCCAAGACGGCTTCCGACGGACCAGGAACGCCCTCAGACAGCCAAAAAGGCTTCCACGAAGCCCTCAAGAGGCTCAAAGACCCCCTCAAGAGGCCTCCTCCTACGACAGCCCCAGTAGGGTCCCAAGACGGCGTCATAGGCCTCCAAACGAACCCGAGCACCATCGGGAGCGCCCCGGATCGGCGGCACTGGCCAGAGGCCATTCTAATAAATAACCCGAAATCTCAAGCGAGAGCCCTCTGTTGAAAAGGAACGGCCCTCCACCCATGCAGCTGTTCCAGAACTGTACACATCTCAAACAATAGCTCCTGTAGGTGAAATCTCAAATTTGAATCCCATGACCAAAAAGAACTACATCCTATCCATGTAACCAGGGGCACGTTGTTACGTACATGAATGTGCTCGTGGCCATGGCCAAAAACTAATCATGAAACCCACTCGCCCTCCATCCGTGTGACTTTCGGGGATGTTGCAGACGAGTGAGCGTGGCGCGAAAGCGAGAGCCCAATATTGAAAACGCTCCGCCCTGCATTCCACAAACTACGTGTGCACGTAGGATGTCTTACTTCTGGCTCTTAGGGAACCGGGCCTGACTGTCGATGTGGCGGCTATGTGGTCAATGTCGCCGCCCCGTCGCGGCCTCGTCGCGGCCTCGTCGCCGCTCGTCGTGGTCTGGCTGTCGGTCTGGCGGTTCTGTGGTTGCTGTCGCCGCCCCGCCGCCGCCTCGTCGCTGCCACTCGTCTGGGCCTGTAGTGCTTGGCATTGCGTTGCCTTGCTCTGCTTTGCTTTGCTTCTCGTTGCATTGCTGCGCTGCGTGGATTGCACAGACAGAGTGCACAGCATACATTGCACTGCACCGATTGCACCAATCAGATCACACCACATTGGTTGCACTGCATAGGTTGTCCCTGATGATGTTGATGTCATTTGATTCGATATTCTCCCGCAATTTTCCGTCCTCCCTCCTCCCTTCCTCCTCCATCCATCATCCCTCCTTCCTCCTATTCCCTCCTCTTCCTCATCCTCCTGCTTCTCCTCCTCCACCTCCTCGTCATCCCACTCCTACTCCTCCTCTTCATCCTCCTCCTCCTCCCCGACCCCCCGTTCTCCTCTTCCTCTTCCTCCTCTTCCTCCTCTTCCTACTCCCTCCTCCTCCTCCTCCTCCTCCTCATCCGCTTCCTTCTCCTCCCCCCATCATCATTAACACCATCACCATCATTGCCATCATGATCACCACCACCATCATCACCATCATCAGCATCAACATCAACATTGTCATCAACAACACGATCAGCATCACCAACATCGACACCACAATCGTCATCGTAACCATCATTATCCTCATCACCATCACCATCACCATCCTCATCCTCAATTCTTTTCGTTATAAACGACTTCTCCCTGTCGCACCCCGAGGACAGTTTTTAGGGGAGCCGGGTGTTTCGCCTGAGACTCACCATTCATGACCCTGAAGCTTGAACATTGGCAACAGTTTCATATACTAAGGGCGGGTGGTTTTCAAAGTGTGGCTCTCGCCTTAGCGCGAGCTTCACGGATTGAGGGCGGGTGGCTTTCAAAATGTGGCTCTCGCCTTCGCGCGGCGTACATTCGTTTCAAACATTTGCAAGAGCTTCACGGATTGAGGGCGGGTGGATTTCAAAATGTGGCCCTCGCCTTAGCGCCGCGCACATTCGTTTTCACAACTTGCAAGAGTGACGGATTGAGGGCGAGTCGTTTTCAAAATGTGACTCTCGCTTTAGCGCCGCGCACTTCCCAAACTTTGCAACGGTTTCGCGGATTTAAGGCGGTTCCTTTTCGAAGTGTGGCTCTCGCCTTAGCGCCGCGCACATTCGCTTCCAACATTTACAAGAGTTTCACGGATTCCCATCATCAACGTACCTGAAATAGCGTTCTGGAAGGATTCAGGATTATGCGAGTGCCACGAGTGCAACAATTACGTTGATTCGCTGTGTTGTAGTCCTAGTAATGGCGTTCTGGCGCGATTCAGGATCGCAAAAACGCAACAGTCAGGTTGATGCGTGGTGTTGGAATCCCCAGAACACTGTCTTAGCATGCTTCAGGGTCGTCAAACGGGTGTCTTCCAACGGGGCAGTTCCATCAATGGAAATGAACCGTTGTAGGGGCCTATGAAAAGCGAGCTTGGAGGGAGGGTTTACTCCAACATCGTTGATGACTCGTGGGTTTACGCTGGTGCTCGTCCTCATCCTGATCCTCATCATCATCAACACCTACGACCCTATCGTCATCATCATCATCACCATCAGCTTCACCATCATCATGGTCATCGGCATCGAGGTCATCATCGTCATCATCACAATCATCATGACCCTCGCCATCATCAACATCATCATCATCATCATCATCATCATCATCATCAGCATCATCATCATCTCCATCGGCATCAAAGTCATCATCGTCGCCATCACCATCATCACCATCCTCATCATCATCATCATCATCATCATAATAATCATCATCATCATCGTCATCATCATCACCATCATCGTCAAAATAATCATTTCCCTCGTCATCATCATCATCACCATCATCACAATCACCATCACCACCATCATCATCATCACCATCATCGTCGTCGTCGCCGTCGTCGTCAACTGTCTATCATCTCCATCGCTATCCGAATCATCATCACAATCATCATAACCTTCATCATCATCATAATCATCATCATCACCATCATCATCATCAACATCGCCATCGGCATCACCATCATCAGCATCATCATTAGCATCATCATCATCGCAATCATGATAATCAACATGATCATGATCACGACCATCATCATAATCGGATCATCATGTTAACCATCACCACTACCTCCATCATCATCAGCATCATCATTGTCGACGTCATCATCTTCATCATCATCACAATCTCATCATCCTCATCGTCATCACCATCATCACCATCACCATCGCCGTCATCATCATCGTAATCATCAAAACTATCATCACCACCGCAAACATCATCATCACCACCATTATCATCAGCAGCACAATCATCTTCATCATCACTACCACCATCATCCTCATCTTCATCCTGATCCTCATCCTCATCCTGTTCCCGACTCTGCCCAGCCTCCCTCCTTCACTCCCTCCCTCCGCTCCTCCCCCCCCTCCCCCAGGGGCCTCTCGTCCGCCGCGGGCTGCTCCGCCGGAGACCACCCGAAGCACGGCGCCGGGGAACCGCAGGGCCCCAGCGGCGGCGCGCCGTCTCTGGCGAGCGCCGGGCTGCTGCGCTGGCGGGGCGGGGGCTAGTTTTGCTCCGCTGCCAACTCTAATCGCTAGGTTTAGGTCGGGCGTGTCCCCCTACAGGCGGATTGCGGACGACCGAACCGTCGGGGCTAGGCCCACGCACTCCGAGATCCAACGCCGTGGAATTACCCCAGACGTGTCAAACCATTTCAACCATCTTACGAAGCGGCTACCCATACAAGCACCCCGAACGAAAAAGATTGATGGGAGGACTCGGTCCTGCCCGCCCGGCCCCCGGCCCCGAACCAAAATTGGCCATAGGAATTGCGCTCGGCAGCCACCCCTGGCAACCCTGGAAGGGGGGCAGGGGGGCCACGGACCTCATGGCTTCGCGCGACCTGGCACTGATCCGAAAAACACCGCATGGCCCAATGCCTACTTCTATCATGTGCTCGGGCAAGTGATACGCTCTTGAGCCCTTGCCGTTTGCCGCACATGTCGCCAAAATGCTGCCTGGGTAACCATGCTGCGAGATGCCAGATTGACGCCGACAGCAAGCGCGCACTGATGCACGCATTGCTGCGAGACAAGAGCGGACCTCCGGATAACAGGAGAACGCGCGACGGCGGGAAATGGCATGGTACCGAGAGCGCACCCTCCAAAAATGCAACACTTTTGAACGATTCGTGCACCCTTATAGCGCCTGAGAGAACCGCTAGGTATCGTCTGGATCTGCGTGCATTCCCACTGCGCTGGACCTCCCAACAACACTCGAACGGGGCAACGATTCCGCAACTGGCGGTTCCCCAGAAAACCGAGAGGTCTCGTCTGGGTCTGCGTACAAATCAACTCAGCTGGATCTTCCAGGAGCTCCAGAAAGTGGCGACAATGGCGCAATTTCGGCTGCCCCGTTTTTGGTGGCGTTCCACCCAGCTGGACCTCCCAAGAGCTCACGAGATATTGCGCAGCCGGAAGCCAGGGAGCAGCGGTGTCTCGTCTGCGTCCGCTTGACACTCCACTCCGCTGGACCTCCCAATAATGCCATCGTTGCCGTCAGTGTCGACATAGTCGTGAGATGGATCTTCAATCGCTCTCTTGGTGTCGTCGTCGTTGTCGCCGCCGGCGCCGCCGCCGAAGCCGTCTTCGCACTCTCGCTCCCGCGCGTTTAGCCGCAAATGTGGCCTCGCCTTAAGGCTCTCTCAGGGCTCTATCGGGGCCAAGTGGGGCCCTCGTTGGGGTCTATGCAAGATGTTCTTGAGCCCTCTTGGGCTATCGTGTAACCCTCGTGGCGTCTCTTGGCGACTGCGGTGGCTGTTTCGGGGGGTCAGGTCTGATCTGGGGGGGCCGTCAGGGGATCAGCCCAAACTACATTGGGGCCTCTCTGAGCCATCTTATTATAGAACCCATGCCAAGGAACACCCTGCTTGCCTCCAGGGTGTCCTTGATTTCTTGGGTTCCGATGGTTTTGCTATGGAAGCCGTGACGCTCCCATACCAAGAATCAGTGGACGTCCTGGGGTATCAGGGTTGGGTTTCTTGTGGAAGGCTTCTTGTGGTGGAGCTCCTACTGCAGACACGTTCGGGGTATAGTTCGGGGACCACGTGCGAACCCTACCCCTGCCCCCGACGATTTCTGAACGAGAGGGTGGGGTTCACTTCGCTCGGGAGCTCCCGAGCGAAGCGAAAACCCCACCCTCCCCCTCAGAAATCATGGGGGGCAGGGGTAGGATTAGGTCGGGCATGTTCTCCGGGTTCACGAAGCGCGCCGCGACTGCACGGGAAGGATGGAGAAGACGGAGACCCACAGCGAGCGCATTCTCGAAATCTAGAGCTCCTCCTTCTCCTCCTCCTCCTCCTCCTCCTCCTCCTCCTCCTCCTCCTCCTCCTCCTCCGGGGGGGTATCCAAGGAGGACGGCACCCGAAACGCGCACGCCTGCAGCTGCTGGTCGATGTCGCTGCATCGCCTGTCGGTCAGTCCCGCAGCCAACTGGTCAACGCAGCAGGCAGACGCAGAAACAGAGCACTGCGAAGATGCACCTGGGCAGGCTACAAGCAAGCTCAGCGCACGCTACACAGCCTGTATCTATTCTTTATAAAAGCAAGCCAAAAGCAACCAAATGGCAAGCTGAAGGCAAACGAAAGGCACGCCGAATACAAGCGGTAGACAGGCCGAACAGCGAAACGCAAAGGAGGACACACGATCATCAAACCGTGGGCAAACAGGAAGCACGCCAAATGTGCCCGGCAGGCAGCATGGCAAACTATCGTGATCTTAAAGTGTGCACGCCCGTAGCACGCAGATTGCAAGTTGAACAGCAAACTCACAGCAAGCCGAATGCAAGCAGAACTGTAGCCGATGTCAAGTTGAACACGGTCCGACTGTAATTTGCAACGAGACGAACGGACAACCAGTTGCAGGCATGCCAGAGAAGGGCGCGGGTTGCCCGGCAAAGACCACGCAGCCCTTGCAATGTTGAAAGCAAGCGGACCTTGGCAGCGTGGTGCGAGGCACGCTTGAGCAATCGGAATGAACAAATATAACGCCAGCCGAAGGCAGGCCTAGAGTTAGGTCGGGCATGTCCCCCTACAGGGAGACTTTGGACGACAAATTTAAAAACCCCCGAAATCTTCAAAGATACTGCAACAAGTGCAAAAAAAGGTCCCCCTGCTATGTTTTACTACTTTTGAATATTCCTCCTGCAGAGGGACAGGCCCGACTTAAGCCTAGAGCGACATCAGCCCGTTCGTCAGGCAGGTGATCGGCACGCCGAGCGGAGGCTGGCACGGCACCCCACGGCGGCCCCGAGTGCAGCAGGGCACTGCGCCGAAGGACCACCAACAACAGACGTGATGAAGAGCGGCAGGCCTTTCCTTGGGGAATCGTGGAAGATCCCCCGGGAAGCCCAGGCCGGTGGTCCCACTGGGGGCCA